GCCCTCAACGGATGCTCTTTGACTTTCGACCCGGCCCATTGTGCTACGGGTTCGCCCAAAGAGTTGCACTTCAGCCTGGCCTGTGTGGGTGTGTGAGTGTGTGTGCAAATGGATCCATTGTTTTTAGACGTTTTGCATTAGAGGAGCGCGTGCTTGGAGTTGCGGCCTGGTGCAAACAGGAAATTGTCGGGGGCTCCGCTTAAAGTTGCCTTTAAATTCACGTTCAGGAAGTCGGCCACATAAATTGCCAAGCTGCCAACCAACGCTAAACGCAAACACATCCGCTTTTACCGTTACTCCGCCACAGAATATGTTGCTGCATACTTTGCAACTCGCATTCAGGTGCAAGAAAATAGCAAGAATAAACATGCTACAAAAAAAATATATAAAAAAAAAACATTAAAAGGCCTTGAAGTCAAAGCAAATATTAAAGAGTCGAAATGCACATACTCTAACTGCAATTGCGACTGCCATAAAAATATACATAATTGTTTACATTTAAAATCAGAATCATATTCACATAATAATATTGTTTTTCAAATTGAAAACTCATCCCCTTCGAATTGTGAAAGTGGTTTTACAATAGGAAATACAATAGATATTTTAGTGCTGATTAAATTAAAAATTACAAAAATGTACTAGTAACTCCATTATCTAAATGTCTTTAAGAAACATTTCAGAGGTTTTCTGGTATATTGCAACCCACAAATCCACAATGCCAAAAATGTACCTTATGCTAGTAATGAAATTAGCAAACATCTTAAAGTTATCTAAATAAATTGCTTAACCAATTGAAAGTTAAAGGAGTAAATTTGTCAAATAATGCAAATAAATCTGTTAGATATCTTGTATAATTGTGAGAAGATAACACGGCTTGGCCCTTCAACATAGATTTTAGTTGATTGGAGATATAAGTTAATCAACATATAAAATTATTGTTTATTTAAAAAATATTTAAAATCAAGGGTATTATTTAAATCAGAAAATTATACATTTAAGTCAGACCTTATGTCCATAACTTCTAAGGAAACAACTTTGGTTGCTCGAGGCCAGAACCCGCTGAGAATTAAAACGCATTAAGCTACTATTAATCGATTTATTATTATTACAGCTTATATATCAAGAGAGTCTCTCTCTTTATTTTCTGCTGCCAACTTGAGTGCATTTATTATGATGCCCAGCGGAAGTGTATCGAAAAAAGAAAATACAATCATCCCAGGTGACGAGCATTAAAACGATTCAACAGCTCGATTCAAAAGAAGGAAAATTATTGCTTGACGCCTCGCGTGGTGGCAACGGATGGCAAAAGCGTTTAGCGCCAGCCACGCCCACTTCCCCGGTATTCCCAGAGGGAGAAACGGGCCGAGTTGCATTTGCGCTCGGTTGCTTCGAAAACACATGCAACACAGCACAGCTGGCTGCGTTGCTTTGTGTGTTGTTGTTGTTGCTGCTGCTGCTGTCGTTTGTGCCTGTTTGTTGTGGCGTATCGCACTTAAAGCCATTCACGTTGCGCAAACAAACACACTTTTGTGCTCAAGACGCCTACAGAATGCGATGCAAAGCGCGTTCAATAAAGGAGTGACATGGTGGCACTGTGGCAGGGTGGAACAGTAGGAAACAGAGTGGCATTTGCAAACGAGTCCAGTTGCAATTATAAAGTACTTGCCACTTCTTTTTGTGTGCTTACATATATGTATATATATACATATATGTGTGTGTGTATGTTTTGGTCTTTCCTTGTTGAAGATTGATTGCCCGGCTAACAACGTGCACATTTCTGAAGCCGATTACTTTGGGTTGTGGCACGTACTCAAGCCGTAATTATTCGACTCCAGTTGCGTCGACAATGCAATTGAGTGCAGGTGTCTTAATGAAGACAATGAGGCAATACACAATGCATTATTTAGGTGCTTGCGGCTTTTAAATAGAATTGCACGTTGTTCTCCTTGTGTTCTATTGTCATTTTCAATACGAAATTGGCAAAGCCAGGGGAATAATTACGAAGGCATCGATTGTTGACACATTTAGCAATCGGGTAATTGCATTGTTAATTACCAACTGAACAGGCATAATTAGAAAGTTAATTGCATTTACCTCAAGAACCCATTCAGCTTTGAGATGTCATGCAATTTACCATGCAATCTATTTTAATTATGCGCACTTCAGTATTGTCAGCACTTGGTTGGGTAGCAATTAAGTGTGCTTTATATGAAGAATATCTAGAGATAAACCTTTTTTTATTCAGAAAATAATATCTGATAATAATTTTATTGTTATTGGCGATTTCACTGAAGTCAGCTAGCTAGTCTTCTCTACCATGAAACCTGATTCATTCATGAGTCAAACAATATGTTGTCGATTTGAAGACATTGTCACAATATCTGATAATACCAGTAGAGCTAAGCGACCTGTTAGTCTGTACTTTCCCAGGGATATGATTTGGTTGTATCGTTTCTGATTATAGCTGCTTAACAGACATTTGACTTGTCTTAGAGATTTTTACCTGGTTGTAAATATTGGGCAGCTCGATAAAATGTAAAAAAATACAAAATCATTAAAAACAAGCTACATATCCACACTCCAACTCAGTAGAGATTAATAAAACTTTTGAATTGCAGACAGTGTATCTGGCAGTTAAATATGTCGGATATACACACGTCCAAATGAATACAAGTCAAAGGTTTTATAAAGTTGTTGTCAACCGCATTGTAGCACATGTCATAGTATTCGAATTGCTACGAGCATTGTCCTTTATTGCGAGTGTAGTCTGTGGTTTGGGAAGTCGTTTAGCACTCATTGTTGGCTTGAGGCCTTCAGCAGCAGCAGCAGCAACAGCAGCAACAGCAGCAAAGGATCATGAACTGTTGGCCTTTTTCCGACACAAAGCGAACAGCAGATTATCACAACAAACTGCCGACAGATAAACAGTTGTTACAGCCCGACTCACACACTACAAAAACATGCATTAAATACTCCCACACACACACAAATACATTAAGACAAACACTCACACACACACACACACAGATACAGTAAGACAGACAAACACATTCAGTAAGCCAGTGCGACATATTTAAAGCGCCGCAACACATTTAGCGTCAAATTTGCTGACAGTTAGCAGTTATGACACACAGAAGAACACAAGGAAAAGTAAACGCTTGTGAGCGCCAAAGGATACGGCGTGTATCCTGACGACTGAAGCCTGCCCGCCACACGTCTCTCGCCTGCACGGCGAAACCAAGCCAGACAGTACAGTTAAAAAACACACACATATACACAGATGTGTGCAAAATAAAAACTCATTAAAAATGAAAGGCAAACAAATCTACACACATACGAGAGCGTGGCGGGAATGCGACAGGGTTAGGGGCAAGGGAGCTTCGAGGGTGGTCGACACACTCAATTTTTTGTGTAACGACGACACCGTCCAAGTGCTGAGCAAAGAACCAAAATGCTCGCAGCAAATTTTTTAACAAAAGACGCAGCATAAAAAAGAAGACAAAAAAAGAAAACGAATAAACAAATCATTTTAAATTCTCAATTAAATGCAAACAGACGCAACGCTTCAGACTCATATGGAGTCGACCAGGATTCGCATCCGGTGCTGGCCCCGCTGAAAAGGTGTCAAGTTGCAAACATGAAAGGACTCTAAAGTGTGACCCTCACACCCCCTTGCCATTGGCATGATGTCGATTCTTGTAATGGGTGTCATGATGATGTTTGTTTAGTCGCTGCTAAGACGCAAAGTGCCTGCCTTGGAAGGGGGTTTGGGGCGTGGCAATCATACTGTGTAATAAGAATTCTGTGAATTTCGCTTTTGTTGGGTCTAGCAGCAAAACTCTTCTGAATAGACGAACATTCACTGTTAAAGCTCAACCTCGCACTCACATCTAGCCACGTCAAACTCCTCGACCTCAAAACATGTATCTCGCATACTCGTATGTATCTACTTTCATTGTAGTTATGCTTGCAAGGCTTGTGGGCGTGTGGGCGTGGCCATTTCGAATAAAATTTAATGATGCCAGAAGTCATTCATTTCGTATGCTCGCTCATAAATACTCGTTAAATGTATTTACAAAGTACGCAGCAAAGCTGTATGGCAATGCAAACTTAGGCAGGCTGTTATTATTGTTGTGTTTGTTGTTGTTGCTGTTGTTGCTATTGTTGTTGTTGTCTGAGTGATCTGAGATCCCATTGCGGACTGACTGATTCCACACATCTGTGCGATATGTGCCTGTCTGCCACTTTCTGTGGCATATATAGGAATCTCTGTTTATTATTTGTTCAGTTGTTATGGTCGTTGTGCGTTGAGTTGTCGCATCTCGTAGTTGAGCTCTACTGTTATGCATACAGTAAAATAACAATAAACATGTTATGAAATAATCTAATGGCATTCAAGTCACTTTTAATGCGCGCTTTGTTTACTATTTTCTTTCTTTTGTATATTAATTAATAAATTCATGTGCAGTCACCGTAATGAGATCTCATTTTGGGGTTTATTATTTTATTCAAGAAATGTAGACTTTAGTCGCAGCACATATTATTCTGATATGCATAATTGTGTATAACCTACTGAATATTATGGAAATATTATTCAATGTTTAACGAAGCTATAAATTATCTATATACACACACATATTATTTTTTCAAGTTGAGTTTATAGACTATTAAACCTTAATTTAGATCGCCAATAAAGTACATTTTCTGTTTGAATATAATTTAAAATTATCATTTAAATTATGCATTATTTTAAATAATTAAATTAATCAAACTGCAATCCAATCTTGGACTTTTATTCTCTTGTACAGGTGGACGGCGACGAAGTCAGCGTGAAGCAGAATAAATGCAATCGAAAGTTTAAGGCAACAATCAGAGAAAAGAAAATAACCTCACTAACCAAACAGCAGTCAAATAGAAACTGCACATAAAAGTAAAAGAAATTTAATTTATTAATAACAGAGAGCATAAGGCAAGGATAACACGTAAAAGCAAATACATATATATATATATATACACATATACATATATAAAACATACATGCAACGAAATGGGTTTACTATTGCTTCTAGCCAGAGAGAAAGGTAGGTAACTAATTGCTGACTTCTGTTGACGATACCCTTGCTGGTACAGCAACTGCTTTTGCTGTTTGTTGTTGTTGATTTGGTTGTTGCTTGTTGTTGCATGTAGTAGTTGCCTTCATCGCTATTGGCAACAACTTTACTGCATACGTGTAACAGTTAAGCGAGTTTTGAGCTGGATAAACAAACTTCAGACGCACAAGAGCAGCCATAAATATATCAAAAAGTGAAATTGCACACACACACACACACACACACATACACTCAAATACACACACACAAGTGGCTGCCTCGTCTACGCCCCACCAGACTCAAGTGCTGCCCAAATTAAAGCCATGCGCTTGCTGCTGGTTCTGCTGGTGGGTGAATGAAACCGAATCCAAATTAGCCGCATTTTATAAGTTGCACTTGAAACAGACTCGCACATGCAACCGAGCAACAACTGGCAGTAACAACAACTACCACAATTGCTACTGCTATAGTTAGCATTGCAACTGGCACTGAAACAATCCACACACATAAACAAATGCATTCACATAATTACATGATGATTATAATTACGCTGCCTTTCTCCAAAAAACCTTTTACTTCGCAGCAATTATTGCGGAGAATGCGAGGCTGCTGCTGCTGCTTGTGCTGTTGACTGTGGGGCTGCTGGTGCTGGAGCTACCGTTGCCAGCAGAGGCCACAAGCGGCTTACGGGTGCCCACGTTCCTGCTGGAGCCCTCACCCCGTTTGCTGTTTGGGAACGATACGGGCGCACAGGTTAGTTGCACGGCGCACGGAAATCCAGCGCCAGTTGTGTCCTGGGTGATGCGCGACGGCACGCTGGCAAGCCAGGTACCCGGACTTAGGTAAGTTTTTGCGGTTTCAACAACCATGCGTATGTCTAATATTAAGTGGGTGCGCCAGCTGGCTGGCTGGCTGCCTGGGTGCCTGTCGGATGCGGCTGCGGCTGCGTCTGCGGTTGCTTGAGTCACACTGTTGTGGCTTCAGCTTGTGGGCAAATTAAAGATGTCTACTAGCTTGTTTTCACTTGGCATGCCGAGCCAGTCGCAAAACTTTTTAAGCCTGGCAGCTTATCTGGTGGAAATTCAACCAAAAGTATGCTACATATTTTTGCATGAACCCAGTCAAAATCAATGTTGCCAGTGACAGGCCACGAATGAAAGGCCACAGCATTAAAAGGGGTTTTGTTTAGCTGCCAAACAATAAGTGTGCTCTGTTTTACGTGCCTGCCTAAAAGGGCCAAAGAAATTAGAAACAAAAGCAATGCGTGGCTGGCAGACAGCAACAGCAACAACAACTGCAGACTCGCATTCCTTAAAATGCCCGCCAGTTCATATGTTAATGTTATGCAGACTAACTGACAGGCAGACAGTCAACCTTTCCCTCGTTTGCTCTTAACTTTTAAAATATTAAAATGCTGTCAAGCCGTTGTTGTTGTCGTCACTTTTTCTATGCACTATGAAAGCTCAAATGTAAAAATTAAATGTGGCTTTGCTTTGAGAAATAAATGCATACCATTTCTGTTTAGCTGTGACCAAGTAGAGATGAGCACGTGTCGGAAGCGACACGGATTATGAAAAATCAACTTTAAGAGCGTGACAATTTTGTATAATATGATAAACTAGCAAATCACTATAATTTACACTTGAATCAGGACATTTTCTCAGCGCGAAAAAGAAGAATATTCTTGATCTTGATTCTATGAGTTAAATCGATATGGTATGTTAGAGCTTATGAAAACTAGTCGCTCTAAAATACCATTTCACACGTATTCTACTTAGGAACTCATAACTTGGCTATAATTGTACCAAAGAGTTTAGTTTTTAAAGACCATATTATGTGAGTTTATTTTTATATCCATGCAGGGTGTATTATAATTTTGACAAGAAGTTTTCAATGCATAGAAAAAGACGTCTCTAACCACATAAATTATTTATTTTCTTGATCAGCATCACAGGTCAAGTCGATAGAGTAATGACGTCTGTCTGTGTCCCTTTCATCAGCTTTAAGGTTATTTAGATAAATGCGAGGGCTTCTTATATTCAGAGTACGTAAGATAGCCCTTGTTTTGTGTGCTATTTAAATAATACCCATTTTATTTATGAAAAATATCAGTAATTTTTTACGTTTCCTAAAGATTAGAAACATATCTCGAATAGGAACACACAGTTCAAAATCAAGCACTTTTAGTGGTCTTCAAGAGTATGAAACTAGCCGTTTTCTCTGTTTGTTTTTATAACGAAATCGTGTCGAAGTCGCGTCTTGTATGTTGAAGCTGTTGTGAATAAGCTCGGTGGTCGGTTGATTTAAAAATAAAAATAATTTAAGCATTTGCCCAGAGTAAAATATGAATAAAAAAATAAATGCAAGCACACGCCATTGAAGCAATAGAGCTTGGTAAAAATGTCCTAAAAGAATTTTGATGTTTTGCAAAATGAAATGTCATTGGAAGTAGTACGTGATCATGTGGGCTGAATAAACATACACATATGCACATAAGCCAGGCAATTCACGTTACACTCGCTGTGGATGACTGTGTGTCTACGGCAGTCTGTCAGTGTGAATGGTGTGTGTGGTGTGTGGTTGCTGCGAGTCCTGGCCTCCAAAATGAGCTCTGGACGCAACCGAGCTGCATGGAAATGAAACCAATTTTATTTTAAGCTGGTAAAGAGCATAGTTGAGTTCAAGTGACATTTTCGGGTATGAGGGTACGGAATGTATACTTATCTCGCCAACCCATAGAGCACTGAGCTTTTGTAGTTATTTATTTATTTTTTTTTCCTTTTGGCTCTATGCAAACGCAATAGACGTAAACAAATTGCCAGCACTTAAACATTTTGGAAAACTGCGCTTGATGAAGTTTTTTGATGCTTTTTGCCGTGCTCCGGTTGTTGTCCTCTGTGTCAAAACCATTCCTCCTCCCACTTCCGTGGTCGCATCATTCGCGCTGCTGCTTGTTAGTCAGCTGTGATGATTAGCGAACATTGGATGGGAATGCTATCCTTTGTGCTTTCATTGGAATGCTGTGGATAACGGTCCGGACTTTGCCTTCGTGCGCTTTCGATGTGCCCAGAATAAGTTATGTGAAGGAATGTTGATTGGTTGGGATTGTCATTCAAGCCTCAGGGCCAATTAAATGTTAATAAAATAGCTAAAAGAGACTTTGAATTTGGTTTTAAATATTTGAAAATAGTATAACAAACGAAAAAGAATAATTTATTTAAATAAATCATTAAATGCTTTAAGACCACCGTGTGGCCAGTAAATCGATAAGAAGATTGAGACAGATGAAGAAAAGTTCATTCAATTTAATCAAGAATATAAAAAAACGGAAAAACGGAAGGTGCAAACGATCGATCAAATTTGTATACAATAAGCTCGTCCATCAATATTTACATTAAATTATTTTTGATCTATGGATTCATAACAAAAAAATAAAAATAAATTATTTCGATTAAGCTTAACGCCGCAGTTAGTCCAAATGTTGCTTACTGCCTTATCTCTCTTTGTGAGATTATATTTTTTTATATGCATTTCCTTCCTTTGTCAGCAGCTAAAGCACCGATCCTTACGAGCTTGCTAACTCCCATTGTTAGTAGCTGTCTTTGCAAATGCATCCGCCATCTGCTTACGTCGTCTCTGGTCCCGCACACACGCCGTCCACCGTGTGGAGGACCCTCGGGTTTATTGCATTTTTATGCAAATCTTCGCCTATAGTTGCAATATAGAAATGTTCACCGGCAAAGTGGCTTCCATTTTGGCATGTTTTTGTACAACAAATTTTTGTGTAACGCTCTCAATGTGTATAAATAAATAACGATGAAAGCCCCAAGACTTTGCGTACTAAAAATATTGCAATACTGCATGTATATATTCTTTGCCTTTCTTCTCATGGTTTGTGTGTATTTTCAGAAAAATATCTGGCAATGGCACATTGCACTTCCCACCGTTTTTGGCGCAATATTATCGCACGGATGTACACGAAGCCACCTACCGTTGCCGAGCCAGCAATGAGGCCGGCACAATATTGAGTCGCAATGTGCAGGTGCAAGCAGGTAAGCGGAAAGTAAACTAAAGTAGCTGACGCTGCAACCATGGAGTGTATGGCGGCTCCATTAGCATGCACAACAAGCCACAAATACAAATAGCTACACACACACACACACACACACACACACACACACACACACATACACACACCTTTATGCGTGGTGCAATGCACATTTTCAGGCTATGCACGTTTGGCGACTGCTCCTGCAGCTCTTTCCTGATATTTTCTAGAAACCACTTTGCTCATAGATGAATCTATATATGTGTTTATGTAGCTATCATGATTTTGTTGCCGCTCAGTTTTGACAGTCGCTGCGTCATAATTGTCAACTGTGAGTCAGTTTTTGATTTCTGCACATAACATTTTAATTTCCGGCGCATTTCCTATCACAATCGTGCACCGCATACCGTAAAGAAAGACAGAACGCGCCACTGAATTGCTTTGTGGTTGTCAAAAGTACGCAAATCTATAAATATTTGTTTTAAATATAGTTCAATCAATTAGAAATATACATGTATATTAAATCAACTTTTATTTTTAGATTAAAATATTTGATCTTTATTCATATCAATTATTCAATCGATGATATAATTTGTATTTTACGAGTTGCCATTAAATGTACAAAGATATTTTTGAATTAATCCATTAATGGTTATTTTGCATGGCTTAAAAATGTGACTTGGATATGGTCAATGTTGATTTCTTTAGCATTGCCACAGCCAATACAGTCGTTGCAATCCAGCAATCCTACTTGAAGCAGTGCTATTCGATTTGAGCTGGGAAACCAACGATGTATGATAGTCGCTTAAAATCTCATTCAATATTTACGCTTCGAATTTTTCATGTGTATCATTTCTGATATTTTTACGACTCATATATATTGTCGCGTGACGGTGTTTTCCATTTTCCATTTTCCTTTTTTCCCTTTTCCCATTTTTATTTTTTGTCTGTTTTCTTTCTTTATGCTCTTCACATCCGATTCGCATGTAATTTCAAGCAATTTCATTCATTTAAACTGCTGCCATTTTTGCATTGTGCTGCGTTTATTGTCCCGCATGCTGCGCTTCAATTCATCCTGCTATGCTGTGCTTTCCCCATTTTCCCAGGCCTAGTGACAGTCCACCCGCCTCCCCTCTCAACCAGAAGCGTTTTACGCATTCTGCCCAAGGGCAGTTTTTGGCCCAATAGGCATGCAACGTTTGTTGATTTTCGACAATTTCTCAGATTCTCATCTGTTTCTGTTTCAATTTTTTGTTGCTCCCGTTGCTGTTTTTCTCCTTTGTGTAGTGGTGCGTCGTCAGTTTCATGTGCACGTGGAAAACACTGAAGTCTATTTGGGAAATTCGGCGTTGATTAAGTGCGCTATACCGGAATATGTGCGGCCTTATGTGCGCGTGGCCAGTTGGCATCGAGGCGAGGAGATACTGCTGCCGGAACTGTCGGATGTTGGTGAGTGTTGCCACAGTTTTACACACACACATGCACACTGAACACAATACGTGTTTGTGTGGGTGTTTATCTGCAGCTGAAATTTATGTGCTCATACTCGCATTGTAGTTGTTTCTGTTTTTGCTTGTTCGTTATTGTTGTTGTCGTTGTTACTGGTGTGGATCATGTCCTGGGGGATACACAGTTGCTTTTGTATTCCTGGTAGCGTTGACATTTATTGATAAATGTTACGTATACGCAGCGAGAAACTTGATTTTGTTATTCATTTTTGGTTTTTCGGTTGTTTGGTTTTTATTTTAATTTTTTGTTGTTGTTTTTTTAGCACTTTGTTGAAACTATAGTTTTTTATGAATTTTACGAATTACTCTATGACATTGGATTCACTGCAGCTGGTCGCTATGTCGTTCTGGCTGCCTCCGGTGAGCTTTACGTGCGTTCCGTGCGATCCGAGGATGGTCTGGCGAAATTCAGTTGCCTTGTTACAAACACACTGAATGGCGATAGACAGCGAAGTGATGCTGTCATGCTACAGGTGAAAGGTAAGGCAAAAAGAAATTGGGTAAGCTAAGATTATTAATGCCAAGCGGAATTGACATTTGTTGCAGAGCTAAGCAAGAATCTGGCACCACGCACCAGTCAAAAGCCAGTGATGGAGATACATGTGGAGCGGGGCAACGATGTGCATTTGCCTTGCAACATTCAGGGCAATCCATTTCCCATATTCACGTGAGTAACGCAACCAATTTCCAAGTTCTAAATGTCTGTTGCCTCTTGCCAATTGTATTGGGCATTGGTATCTGTGCAGCTGCCAACTTGTATCTGTGGCAATAAAATACCAGCACGCACAACGAATACACACGGGATGCCAGTGGGCCTGGCTCCATTTATAGAGACAACACTTAAGTGCATTTGAATGTTTGCCAGGGACCCTGGTTTTATTGCATATTAGAGACTGTTGTGTTAGTGCTAATTACGGGAACTCCACGTCGGATTTTGGCTGGCAGCAGCAGCATGTAAAAAGCTTTTTAATAGCTGCGTATTAGCCATGTGTTAATGGGGTCTTAATTTCACTGACCCGGCACAGTACAGCTGAGTGCAGAAAAAAGAAACTAATAAACGAAGTGTCTGTCAGGCAAGATACTCACCATGAACGTTATCATCTTGTTTATCCAGCCACTGAGCATACTCAACGTATCGGCTTACAAAAGTCAACACTTCTAACTGCTCAATCAATAAAAACCAATTTTGGTAAATAATAACAAGAGCAAAAAGAAAAAAAGAACAACCGACACTCAAAGTCAGGAAATAAAATATATCATATTACAAAGAAGTTCGCCACTAATTAGCAGAGACCTGGTTTATTGACAGGCCAATGCCACTATGACAAAGGAAAATTTAGAAGTCTGCTCTTCACTTAGTCAGGCTTATTAAAATTTCATGCAGTCATAGGCACTTGATGTGTGCCCACGAGAGAAAGAGAAATACAGACACGGTGAGAGAAACAGAGAGAGAGATAGTCATAACGCAAGGGGAATTTGACGGGGTAAGAGACCTACACCAAGTGCCAGTGAAAATCCAAACAGACACCAGGCAAACATGCAAAGGGGACGCCGTCTGGTCTAGAATCGTGAAATGCCTGAAATATTTTCAAATGGCAAACCACAGAGCAGGCGAATGCCAGTCAACAAGACTCGAGATTTAAACAGCATATTTCCAGCATAAATGATTTTCTATCTCTATATTTGTATCTAGCCATCTCTCTCAGTCGCTCAGTCGATATGCCATCCTCGAGCACATTATGATTACTATAAATGCGAGAAAAATGCGATAATTTTGTTTTTAGCTGAAGTTTAGTCCGAGCTGTCTACGTGGCTTGCATGGGCGATGAGTGAAATCGGTTTATGGCTTACAAGTTGAGCGCTTCTTATTGATTTCATCATAATATACATATATCTCAGCTTGTCCCTGTGTATGTTTTTGTGAGTGTTTCTGTGTGTTGGTTTAGGTGTGTGTGCGTGTGTGAACTTGTACGTGCGCGCTCGAGGCAAGCATGCTAAATGTCTTGAATATTTACTTTTTGCCAGCGAATAAAACCCAACTGTTTATAAATAAGTCATAGAGGTTATACAATTTTGTTAAACTACTTTTGGTATACTCATGCTGAGTGCATTATAAGTAACATATTATTGCTATCAGATGTCTTACGTATTGAAATGGTCCTTCGAACATGTATACTCTAATTAATCACTCTGAGAATATGAGTTTATAAAAAAAATATTAAAATTCGCTTAAGGGCGTGCCCGAAACCATAAATTGGGATTATACTTATTCTTCATCAGGATTAGAGTCCATTAAGCCATATTTATCTGCTCGCCTGTCAATATGGATTTACTGCAATTATAGTGAGGCACCAAATTTCTTATATTGACGTTAATATTTGATCAATAAGATTTAGTTTTTGTGTTTTGAGTTTTCGAACAGGCTTTGGATTTTATCAATAACAATTAATTAAAAGATACAAATGATATATATTCAAATCCAATATTCATGAAACTTTTTTATTTAGTGTGAGGGACAGTTAAACTTTGTATATTAAATTGTTAAATTAATATTATAAGCAAATTATTGTTTAAAATTTGAGAACTGTGCACTGCAAATGCAGTTTCTAGTCAAACTTTTCTCGACTCTCGCATTTAAAACGCAAGATGTCAGCTATCGCTCTCATCACATAACTAACGATTTCATATTTATATTTATATATATGACTTGCAGCTGGTATCGCGTTTCAGACTCGGCAGCACTATATCCCATACCATCGTCACAGCGGGTGATACTATCGCGAACATTGTTGCTTATCAAAAATGCTGACGAGCGGGACGCGGGCAAATGGGTGAGTATGAGCAGTAACCTCAAACACGCTGACAGGCGCTGACTGTCAGTTAGTCAGTCAATCAGTTTGCACAATTCAAGCAGTTTGACTCTCTGTCAGATTGACTGCCAGTGAAATATTGTATTTAATGCATAGTCTGTCATGTATAAGGCTTACGTATATGCAGTCCTCGTAGATTGTGCCATGTATTCACAATGTATGATGGTGATGTATATGTATCAAAGAGTTGATTGATTTTGGCTGGCTTATATATCGACCCATTTCGCCCTCTGGTTGTGCTTTTGCAGATTTGCCAGGCATCGAATCAGTTTGGGGAGCAACGCATTGAAATTCGGCTCAGTGTAAATACGTTTGTCTCGGTGCATATACTGCCGCAAGTACAAATTGTCAATTCGGGCGGAACGGCAATTTTCAATTGCACAACAACTGGCTCGGCGATCGATGCCATCGACTGGCTGCACAATGGCAAACCGCTGCAAGCGAATAATGCACTCAGCACCGGTCGGGATAAGTAAGTATAGTACTTGTAACAACAACAATAACAGTAACATGCATACATGCAACATGCAACATGCAACATTGTGTGCATGGAACTAGCAATGAACACAGGCCACTTCGATTTGTATCTGTTTTTACATTTGCAAAAATTTTTGCTTGCCAAAAACAAAAAAAAAAAAAACACGAAAGCCAAAAAAAAAAAAAAGAATGAAAAATTGTGATAAAGCCGTAGAGTAAGCGCTCTTGTTATTGCAGTGCCGTTGTTAGGGGTGCTCCTGGCAAAACAAAAAAAAAGCCATATTGCTGTGTATTATTATTGATGAGCGATGGATTAACTGCGGGGTTCGAGCTGAACTTCATTTGTTGCCAGCTACAATTTCATTTTCCATTTTATTTATTCGGCTATATTTTAGTTTCCGTTTTTTATAATAGCAGTTTTTTTTTTTTTTTTTGCAAGCCATTGACTGATTGCTTAAAAGCTTTGTGCTATTTTCCATAGTTTTCCGGTTGGTGATGCGTGTCGAGGTCAATGCTCAAATATGCTGATGGATTGCAGTGAATGTTCGAGAATTTGAATCAATTGTCGAGAATGCGTAAATTGGCTGTGAACTAGTATAAAAAGAGGAGATTACAAAGTTAAGCTGTCGGTTAGGCGATTCTTGTAAAAGTTTTCACAAAAGCTGACAAACAAAACATTGCTTAAGCAAGCAAATTCATTTGTTTTCGTTCATTTGTGCAACTAATTAAAATTAAATAGAATACTAGTTTGCAGATGACCATGTGTATAATATGTATGTATGTGTGCATACAAAACATAAATTATGTTAATCTTAGGAGCGGCAGATTGCCAAGCTGGCTGCCACTAGCCGGTTGTGATACTCTGGATGTGCCCACACACACACACACATATATCCACTTGAATGGGTTGAACACATCTTGATAATTTAATGCAAATTACGTGAAATCAGCATAATACGCAGCTTGGCCAAGCAAAATGCAAACACGAATACTCAGGCACATCAGCACAAAATATATACATATATATGTATATATACACATATAGGCCATATATGCTGACAACCATGTATACGTACATACATTGAAGCTGGAAAACAGCCCTGAGTACAAACAGCTTGGAAAAACAAACATCATTCGACTATATGTGTAAATGTGTGTGTCTTTGAACTGCTGTGCTTGCTTGTGTGTGTGGGTGCGCTGACCAGCTGTTGCCCAAGGATATACACCAAAGAAGATGCGGTCAAGCGCAAGCAGTGTGAGAGAGAAAGAGAGTAAAAGAGAGAGACAGAGAGAGAGAGAGTAAGGGGCCTAAAGGGTAAGACCGAGATGAGCTGAAGCAAATCAGCATAACAAATCAAGCAGAAATTTTTATGCTTATGCTAATAAAATAAATAACAAATTTCGCCTGAGCGAACAAAAAGCAAATGCACAGGATGAAAAAAACACACACACACACATATTCACACATATACACACATATTTACTTGTACACAAATATTCGCCAACACATTCGCTTAGACTTTTAGCTTACAAAATGGCGTGAGCTTATTGTATTTTGTAAACTCGGCTTTTTTCATGCAACGTTGCCACTTTTGAAGTGAACGCTTGCCTGTTAAAGTTTAAATAGTCCTTTCTTCTTTTTTTTGACGTAATCCTAAAAAGGATAAAGACATATTCGTTTTATGCAATACACACATTATTTGAATAAGTCCGCGTTAGTCAGGCAAATCGATAAAAACATATATTTCCATCAGGAGTAAAAAGCTGTGAACATCATTTGTTAAAATATATCGAAATACTTATTGCAAAAACTTCGTAAGGTATTTGAAATTTACCAATACGAATATATAAATTGTTAATTGTGTTAATCCCGACGGAGATCGAAATATATTGGATTATATAAAAAGCAATAAACTTATTTAAGATATACCTCAGTTTTATAGTTACATTTAAGATACTTCCCAATAAAGCTAGAGCCTAGTGCATTATCCAGTCGGTAATGTCCGACCGTAAAATTCAAAGTTTTCATTTTTTATATATACATGTAAATTTTTTTTTTACTGATTTTTCGAAAATTCTCATTTTTGTATATATATATATATAAATTTTCTTTTTGTCTTGTGTCAGCATACGTTTCCTATCGAAGAGCTCGTTGCTGGTGCTTAATGTGGGGCGACGCGACCGCGGTGTCTATCAATGTCTCGTGGAGAATCAGCGCGCCAGTGCGCAGGCGATGGCCGAGCTGAAGTTGGGCGGTAAGTTGAAATGGGTTTTTGTGTGTGTGGATGCTACTACTCGCTACTACCCACTCATGCATAGTTTATGAGACAGGGTTTGGCATTTATCAGAGCCGTGTGCTTTTGCCTCTTTGCCGTTGCAGACACAGTGCCCGAATTGATTTACACGTTCATTGAGCAGAATGTGCGTCCGGGGCCATTAATATCGCTTAAGTGCTCAGCCAGCGGCTCTCCGCCGCCGCAAGTAAGTTGAAATGTTTTATTGCTATTATTATTATTATGCATTGTTGACTTTACACATCAGCACACACAACCACTCACAAACGCATTGATTAAACACACGCACATATTATGCACTGGCCGTATTCTGTCAGCTTCTTATTGATTATCTGCTGCGTGTCTCGTTGCAGTTCGCCTGGCTTTTGGACTCGCAGCCTATTATGGATGTGTCTCTGCATCATCGTTTTGCAATTGGCCAATTTGTCGACATATCTGGCGATGTGATAAGCCATTTAAATATCTCGCATGTCCGTCCAGACGATGGCGGCCTGTACAGGTGTGTGGCCAGCAATTCCATGGGCAATATTGAGCACTCTGCCCGTCTGAATGTTTACGGTGAGTTAATAAATTACCAACAAAATCAATTATTCGACATGACCTCCATTGTGCAACCAACAAGGTATGCCCATGCTACAGATAGTCCTCGTAGACTATCGCATTTCAAAGGTCCTTTTTTGTCTGCCACACAATACAAATCACAAAAGACGCTGAGCCATGAATTTTGTGAGAGCTCCTGCCGCATCCGCACTGATTGGAAATACATACATTTTGCCAAGGCAACGTGACAAAAGGCAAAAATAGACACGTCGGAAAAATATATACACACATATATATATATACATATATATACATATTCACACATTCAGCGTAAAATTCTAAGAAAAATCCCTGATGGCGATAAAGTCGCCATCGATATAAAGCCGCTGAGCCGTTGAAAACTGAATTTTTAGCAAGGACAATCTCATTTTCCCTAGCAGCTTACAATCAACCGCCTCGCAATGTAATCACAACCAAATCAGACTATAAACTCTGGCCATTAAAGTACAAATACAAATACAGTTAAGGCCTGCTCTTTCATTTTATGCAATTTGGTTGTATCACATATTCGAGTATTGAAGCATTTTAAGCTGTTTCGATAATGCTTTCTTAATGTGTTAATAATGCATAACCAAATGCGGATCTGACATATATTAATCATGTGCCCCTCCTTCAGCGTGAATCTTGATTGATGCTATCTATTTGCTACTATCTCACTTGCCTGCAGCCTGTGTAAGTGTATCCGTATATTTGATATCTATGTAATATCTATATAAATGGCACTTTTGAGCCCTTGGCCTCGCACTTGCAGCCAAATCGTAAAATCAAATTAAGCTTGTCCACTCGGCAAAGCAACAGAAAGCAAAGCGATTGAAATTCGAATGGCAAAGTTCTCACGAGTGGATTAGTTCAAGTTCCCGCAGCTCTTATTCTTAGGTATATAGAAGTTGGAAGAAATGCCTTGCCTCTCTAACTATGAAAATTGTATAATGTAAAAGAAGATTTCAACTTTTTAATGAAGGATATATTGTTCATCAATATAGATTTCTTTAATCATGGGTTCAATTAAAGCAATATAATCTTTAAATATATATTATTAAATATGTACATATTATATATATAATTCATCAATATAAACAACCTCACACTTGCCTCTCAGTTGTAGTTATATAAATGAAGCTCAGACATATATTTTGTTTAGCTTCTCTTGATCATTGAGTTGGAAATGTTTGGCAATTGTACGCATAGTTATAAACAGCTTACATCTTATTGTATGATGGACGGTTGCAGATTTAATACAATTTTGCGTGATGTAACCGCATATCACGCATACGCAGTGTGGGATGTGGGGCAATTCTCCATGCAGAATACTGATCAAACTGTTTAATTATGCATTTTGCAATTTATGCAACGCATGCAACGTGCTGCATTAGCGCCATTGCAAATTGCATCCTTTGTCGTCAGCTGCATTTACGTTTTGGCCATTAATTTCACATGTGTGTCCGAATAGAATATAATTTGAATTATTAAGCATTTGCGATGCATTTCTGCCTAATTGCATTTTGAAACAAATTTTATAAATTACACAATGCTCTTTCCCACACACACACGCAGGACCGCCTTATGTGCGTGCCATTGGACCCGTTAAGGCCGTTGCAGGAGAGGACATAATTGTGCGATGTCCGTTTGCCGGCTATCCCATTGACCAAATTCGTTGGGAGAAGGCGCATCAGGAATTGACAACAAGTAAGACAAATTGCAAGCAAACAAATGGACAGGGGGTATTGATCATGGGGCGTGGCATGCGCTGCTTAGCGCATGACAACATTTTCTACACACAATTTTATTGTCACTCTCTCATCGGTACAGGCACACACTATACACTGGCAACGGTGCCGGAGGGCGGTCAGCTTGTCATCAAGAATGTGGAGCCCGGCAGGGATCAGGGCATATACACGTGCATTGTGCGCAGTCGGGCGGGAGAGGAGGCGCGTCGCGACATGCAATTGAATGTGAACAGTAAGTTGAATGGAGCAGAGAGACTCAAAGACTCAGAGAGTCTGAGTCCTTCAGTTGGTTGTCGTATTAATGTCTGCCACGTTGGCTAATCGCTCACCAGGTCCGCCCGTCATTGAGGCTTTCAAGTTCCCTAAGAATCTGCAGGAGGGCGGACGAGCACAAATCACCTGCGCTGTATCCTCTGGCGACATGCCCATTTACTTTAGTTGGAAGAAGGATGACAGTTCCATACCCCTCAGCCTGCAGGTGAGTTTGCCAAAGTTGTCGAACTATCGTTGCATTTAGCGTATCTTGTGAAACAATTTTGTTACAACTGCTGATGCTGATGCTGATGCTGCACCTTTTCTGTGTGTCTTTCAATTTACAAGATTACCGAAAAGAAGGAAGAGTTTTACTCGCTGCTGGTGTTCAAGGATATCAGCGCGAGGCATAGCGGCAAGTACACCTGCTATGCCAGCAATGCGGCTGCCAAGGTGAACTATACGGCGGAACTGCAAGTGCGCGGTAAGTTTGCTCGTCCATGAAAATCCAGCAGGTGAGAAGCTGATTGTGGAACGAGCAGCCTTCTTGGCTGCTGAATCTATTGGTGCGCTTTGCTGTTATTTCAAAAAAAAATAAATCACGCAGGATTTGTGCACCAGTTTGCCTCCCTTTTAGGGAGCTGGCTATACACCCAAACACACTCCACACACACACACACACACACATGCATATGTGTACACATAGAGAGAAAGAGAAACACAAACAGCAAGTTGTTAATTTTGTTGTTTACTTGGCGCGCTTTCATTCGTTACGTTTTCGGTACTGCCTCCCCGGTCACGTATCACATTTCAGTGGCGCCACGGTGGAGCTATGAACCCATGGATACGGCCATTATGTTGGGCAATACAATATCGATAAATTGCGAGGCGGAAGGATATCCGATTCCAGCTATTACCTGGTTCAAAGGACAAGGTAAGTTTGCCAATCTCTCTGCCCAAGCAGCTTAACAGTCGCCCGACTACATTCAAATTGGTTGGGTTAAACGTGCACACCCAAAAGTCAGAAACGTTCTATTATTAATTAGCTGCTGGTGCTGGTGCTGCTGCTGCTGTTGCTGAATGTATGCGAGCCTCGCAATTTGTTTAATTAAAATGTGTCTCTTACAGGCAAAGCCTCCAAAGATTTCAAGCCACTTAGCATGCGCAATCATTCGCTGCTACTAAATTTGGCCACGGACAACGATGAGGGATACTATATGTGCCAGGCCACGAATGAAATTGGCGCTGGTCTCAAGAAGATAATACGCATCAATGTGAATGGTAATTGTATACAACAATAGAGTTGCCAAGGGAGTTACCTTAATCCACGTAACACACACAACTTGCAGAACCGGCACGTTTTGAACAGCCTGCGAGGAATGTCAGCTCACGTCGCAATGATCCGGTCACATTGGACTGCCATGCGAAAGGCGATGAGCCCATCAGCATTGCCTGGACGCAAAACAATGGACGCATCGATCTGAATAACTTTCGCTTCAGTATTGCGGAGATGAAAACCGAAAAGGGCGTCGACTCGCAATTGACCATTGGCCACTCGGATCGTCATGATTCGGGCGTGTATCGTTGCATTGCCGAGAATCCATACGGTCGGGCAGAGCAGGTTGTTTTTCTCGCCGTCCAAGAGCGTCCCGACACACCCTCCAATTTGGAGGTCTTCGAGGTGGGCTCACGCACCGTCAAGCTCAGCTGGCGGCGACCCTTTGATGGCAACTCTCCGGTGCTCAGTTACCTGGTGCAGTACCAGGCGCTCAAGTATTTGCAGTCACATGCCGCGTTGGGAGCCGCAGGTGGAGATTGGAATGGCATTAATGTTATCAATGTTACGCTGCCATCGACTAGCATTAGTCGCAGGTGTGTGTGTGTGTTTCTATTGACCGCTATCCTGAATCCTTGATAGACTCTGCCCTCTCTCATTAGCTATGACAGTGATCTGCGTGAGAACGCTATTGTGGCGGGTTTGTCACCGGCAACGACATTCCTCATACGCATGCAGGCCATCAACGAGATTGAGCGCAGCGCATACACAGATTCGATTGTGCTCAAAACGCAGGAGGAGGCGCCGACAGAGTCACCGTCCAATGTGCAGGTGCAAACGGGCGGCGAAAGTGAACTGATAATTACGTGGCAGGTGCGTGCCACAGACTAGCCCTGCAGCGCTTTCCGTTCTCTACAGTTTGTCACACTAACCAACCAATTGCAGATACCGCCGCGAGAGTCGTGGAACGGCGAACTCATTGGCTACACCGTCAACTGCTCCGAGGAGAAACAGAACATTAACTACATCAGCGTGGTTAACAGCTCTCTCAAATCGGTCATCGTCAGTGGCTGGGCAACCACCAAGGCCACTCTCCGTGGCCTCCGTAAGTACACTCGATATGCAGTGACCGTGCGTGCTCTCAACAGCTTTGGCTCCGGACCGTGGAGTGCGCCAATTTTTGGAACCACAGCCGAAGGCGGTAAGAATACTTAACACTATATATATACATATCTATTTTATTATTTTAGCCCTTTACCTTTTGTCGACTTAATTTAAGTTGACAGATAGATTGTGCCAAATTTTCATAAGACTACAATATTAAATATATATATTATAATTGAGTTGAATGAGTTTTCAAAACCTAAACTCTGCAAATCGAGCCTATTATTAGAATTTGTACTTACAATTTTATTACTATTAAATACAAATTAAAAATGTTATTATTTTTAATTTAAGAAAGTCTTATTTTTTGTTTTGATACATGATGAAAGTTGTAATTAATTTCCAAATTGAAAATCTTGAAATTTATTATGATTTTATTTTGATTCTATTTGCATTCTTTGCAGTGCCGGAGGCTGCACCACAAACAGTTAACTGCTCAGCGCTATCATCGCAGAGTTTGAAAATTTCATGGCTGGAGCCACCGCTGCAATTCCATGGCGGCATAATACAGGGATATAAAATTTTATATCGCCCCATAGTGCATCAAAGTGAGTATAGGTTTCACCCAGCCAGTGGCTGCTTTGGAAATGCAGTACATCCAGTGCATCCAGCTAACAGTCTAGATTTTGTGGTTGCCAGTTGGCACTTTATGGCGCTGATTTTGTTGATATTGCAAACGAAGAGCGCTGTGCAAACACCAATCGATATGATTGTGCAGTCGGCTAGGGGTTAAGAGTTGAAACCGAGGCAGGCAGGCAGGCAGCAAGTTAGTTGCTTGGGTTTATTGGTTTTGGCGCCGGGCTGAATGGGCGCTGTGCGTCAGCACATTGATGAGCAGGAAAGTTGTGGATATTGGCAGCGCTTATCAAATCAATGTACATACTTGGCAATCGATACTATTTATACGGTCCAAGCAGCCAGACTTGTCATCTACTTAAGTCGATTAAACCCAAAGTGACTCTGCTATTACACAGTCGCAAAACAAAAGATCAACACAGTGCAGTTTGTCTTCATCATTGGATTTTTTAAACAATTCGTGAAGTGATTTATAGTTTTCTTATAGTTAACTTCACACATTTGACTTTTCATTAAACTACATTTTTAATATCGTCAAATCACAAGCCATCGCACTAAACAGTGTATTAAAAATTCAAGTCATAAATTTAAATAGATTTTTTCAATTCAATCACAAAATCAACTTGATGCTATATAATTTAAATATTTTAAAATAACTCAATACACAAAATTGTGTAAAAACTTTTTTAATGTGCACAACAGTTTAAAAGTAATAAGCACAGCTTCTACAAAACTTTTGGTTCATAAAGAAGTTGAGCGCATAACCAGCATTGTGAAGTAACTAAGTATTCTTGTTGGTGTTATTTGGGATTCATTGCAAAATGAAATGATTTATTTATTCAATTTCACAGTTGACTTCCCCGCCAAACTGGAGATCAAACGCACATCGAATTTGGAAACCTATCTGCATACACTGCTCAAGGCAACAAACTATTCGATTCGAGCATTGGCCTACACAGCCACCGGCGATGGCCTAGCCAGTCAACCATTATTTTGCCAAACCGATGACGATGTGCCCGATGCGCCGGCAGCCATTAAAGCGGCTGCCTTGACAGCTGATTCGATTTTAATTTCATGGCTGCCACCAAAGAATCGCAACGGCATCATATCGCATTACACGGTGTATGCACGCGAAGCGGGTCGCAAGGGCCAAACCAAGAGTGAGTACCCCTCTCCCCCTGCCCAAAAAGAAAAGAAAGAAAAATGCGCATGGCCAACACACAGCACACAAGGCAACTATCAATATTTTGTTGTCTATCTTTTTTTTTTTTTTTTTGCGATCAGCTCACATGGTACGCGTTGACGAGAACGGATATCCGGTGACGTTCGAGGCACGCAGCCTGGCCGAAAATCAAATGTACGAGTTCTGGGTATCAGCATCCACGTCGGTGGGTGAGGGTGAGCCCACATCTGTGGTGGCCCAGGCCACCAATACACGAGGTAGGTATCGCAGCTGCAACTGCAACTCTTTAAAGTCATCTACACGGCTCATGTTTTGTGCGATTTTCGTTTTAATTAAAATTTTCACATTTAGCCGCCGTGTTTACCGAAATAACCGCAACAGTGCGAAGCCAACACTTTAATTCCATGCTCCTAACTGTGTGTACTGTTTTTCTTTATGTGTTTGTTTGACCGTTTGTTTATTGTAGCACCTGCACGCATTGCCTCATTCGGTCAGGTGGTGCGGAAGGCTGTCGGCACACGGCTTGTGCTCGAATGCCTCGCTGTGGGCAATCCCACGCCAAGGGCGCGTTGGTTGACTCGCGATCGACCCGTTACATTTAGCCCCTTTTATGAGGTAACCAATGAGGGCAATTTGCGAATACATCGTAAGTAAACAGCTGTGCTGCAAAAATATTTGCATTTACATCTTTTGATCGGGTTTTTCACGTCACTCGACGGTCGACAGGCGTCGAAGGCAGTCTGTCCGGAAATTATACGTGTACGGCAAACAATCTCTTTGGTAGTGACGAAATCCAATATCAGGTGATTGCTATGAAGCCACCGGCCGCACCACAAATCATCGTGCAGTATGCTTCCGCTGACAGCATACGTGTCAGTTGGGATGCGCCCGAGGATGGCGGAGCACCGCTGCAGGGCTACACAATTTCATATCATACGGCTGGTGATACCTGGGCACAGACGGAGCTGCTGCCGGAGAACAACGCTTACACAATGACTGGCCTGAAGTGCGGAAATCAGTACATTATAAAAATGTCGGCCCACAATTTGGTGGGCGATGGTGCACCCAGCGAGGAAATTAATGTCTGGACCAAGGGAAAAGGTGTGTGCTCTCATCTCGTCCATTTGCATACATAAGTACTTATGCTGGACCACCAACGAGTAGTCGAGTAGCAAGTACGAATGCACTTCCTGTGGCCGCATTCAAATTTTCAGTTGACCACAATGAGCACTGGCTGCTGAGCATTTCCCACATATGTTCATTTCCATATTCATTTCCATTTCACACACACAGCCTCGCAGGCGCCCAATGGCAATGAACTAATTGCCACAAATGCAACCTGTGTGAATTTGAAGCTGTCATCGTGGCATAATGGCGGCTGCAGCATACACCATTTTTCCATAGAGCATCGACCGTTAGGTAAGTTGCAAATTGTAATTAATGCACAGTCACACCTGCCAATGCCAACTCTCGCAAAAGCTATTAAAACTTAATCAAATCCATCACTCATAACAAAAAATAATAAAAATACAAAAATAAATGTATCAGTCCATTTTAGTCCGTGATGTATTTCTGCTGATTTAAATTGTATTCTGAAAAAAAAATGATAATAATAACAGTTTGTTAGTACATAACGCGAATGCATTGTTAGATTACCGAGTGATAAATAGTTAAAAGGAAAACAACACATTAGGTGCAAATTTAGTGGAAATTTAAATTAAATTATGCACATTATATTGATAGTATTCGAATATCATTTTTATTTCTCCTGTGAGCTTATAATCCCAGCAGCACTGTCTGTCAGCACAAATATCCAGCGTTTTTCAAGAGCATTTGAAACTCGACGTGTTACATATTATTCGACTGTGATTTTATTAAATGAATACAATTATTTATGTTTTCACTTAACTGAGCAATGAACATACAATTTTATTCATAAATATTTATACAATTTTTTAAATGATGTCGCGTGCAACGCTGCGTATGATGTATAATTTCCTTATGGCTGAACAAAAACTGACATATTTATTTTGTTTTATTTTATTTTTTTTGTGGACTTATTTGCTGGCCGTTCCCCAGGCGACATACGCTGGACAGTTGTCACATCGGATATTTCGAACGCGGAAGAGAATCGTGAAAATTTAATATTCTGTGACTTTCTGCCCTCGAAATGGTACCAGCTGCGCATCTCCGCTACCAACGATGCGGGAAAAACGACGGAGCATTATCATTTTAGCACAACGAGCTTGGATGGCATCACCATACCACCGCCTTCCGTATTCCCCTCGGAAAATGATTTGATGAACAATCTGATAAATGCGACAAATCCAACCAACGGTGATTGGTTGGCAACGTTAATTGTCGTTGTCATAATCACAGTGGCCATCATGACGATGTAAGTGCTAGAAATCTAAGGGGACTTAAATTGAATTGGCAGCGGCGAGCCAGTAATTGCTTGCGAACGTTAATTAAGCCTTAATTAACTGGGCTGGCTGGGTAGAGCGCCAGGTGAAAGTGGATCAAAAAATCAAATGAAATGCCATTTATTTTTGTTTCCTCACAAAGAGTTGTTGGTTTTTCTTTTTCCTTTTTTCAATTAAGCCCACGGTTATGGGAAAATCAATAATATTTGCTCATACTCTCGCAGGACAAAAAGCAATTTGTCAATCTTTGCTAAGCAACTTATCGCCCCTTGACCTGGCCAATAGAATCGCATTTCGTTCAGTGACTAGTTTAATTAGACGTCTAATCGTTGAGCAACGGTTTCCATTTTCTTTCAGCGCACTGACCATCAAACATCGCCGCACTCTTTGCGGCCCCATTGCCGAGGGCTACGAGTCTCGGGCCCTACCCGGTGACTTCAAGGAGGAGCACGAGAATCGACGTAATCAGCAGGTCTACAGCGCCTCGCCGGTCAAGACGGTGGACAAGAGCAACGAGTCCGGTGAGTTGGGCGACATTAGGCTGTGCACGTGACCAGCACTAGGTAACAATTAAACCTTCTCACATTCCGCATATCTTCTTTTTTTTTTCCTTCGCCATGACTTACTTAGAAATGTACGAGATTTCGCCATATGCCACGTTCAGTGTGAATGGCGGACGAACAGGGGCACCGGCAAAGACGCCCACACGGGGGCTAGCCGCCCAAACGCCGCATGACTACACCATGCAGTTCAAAACATTCGGACATCCGGAGGGCGAGAATCTAAATGCCACGGCCTATCCACTGCTGCCAAATGCGGGCTTCGGACATGTCAAGAGCAAGTCCAGCTGGCACAAACAACGCTACTACAATACCGATGGTAAGTCCAAGTATGGGTACTTTAGCTGGAGCCTTAGACTTGCTAAAATCGGTCTGCAGTTATCCAACCATGTAAGAAGTAAGGTTTAATCAAATATTCTTAAACACAGCACCATATTATAAATTATACATGGGGAAATTTTGTAGTAATAGTTTTTATTTAGCCTAAATTAACTCTTTTAAAATTAAATTATTTATACGTAGTACATATAACACAGCAAAATATAGCCATGAACATGCCAAAGAAAGAAGAACTGCGTACTGTAGTATAAGCATTGTTAATAAGTACATTTGAGTAGTTTTAAAGACCGAGGAACATGTTTTTTCCTCTGTGCAGACGAATCCACGCTGAGCAAATCAATGACTATTGTGGCTGGCTCGCAGTCCGGTCACCCAAAGAAGTCGAGTGGTGCACGGAGCGCCAAGAGTGGTAATGCTGGCGTGGTGGCTGAGTCGGAGTCGGATACCAGCATCAGCCCCAGCACCGAGTTCTCCAACATGCCCACCTATCGAGTTCCTTGCAAGTCGTCGCGCAGCAGCGATGGACGGGCTGTTGTAGGTGCGTATGCCGCACGGGATTTTGGCCATGTGTGCGCATCGAACAATGCCTGTTATATTTCAGATATGTTTCGGCCCGACTCGAGCACCGAGTCGAACAATGACCAGGGCTCACCGGCGCTGGAGCGACGATTGAATACGCCACGGCACATTGGCATGCCGGCGGAGAAGCGCAGCGCGGGACAGCGCAACCGGAAGCATGCTTCGCAATCGGGCAACCAAACGCTGGAGCGACGAAAGTGCCCTGGTAGTAACAACAGGTAGTTCAGGTACCTAAGCCCTAAACAATCCGAATTGAAAACTCATGAAAAAAGAAACAAACAAATACATTTAAGAGAAATAACACGTCAATTAAGCAACTTATCACAATATGCAACAACCAAAATACAGTAAGGCTGAAACCGTCTTTAAGTAGTCTTTTATATTTTTATAATAAGGTAATTAATTATTTCTGGCATAAACAATTCAAGTTTATCGTTATTTATGAAGTAATGAAAAGCTTTCTTAAAAATAGATGTTGCATTAACTTTAATATTTCAGATTAGTCGAATTAAACTGTAAAGCATTCACTCAAATTCATTTCTTTTGTGCTAATTTTGTAGTAGTAAATTCAATTACCATTTCAAACATAAACTTTAAAATTTGTGAAAAATTAATTTATAGGTTTGCATCTCTTTTTAAAATTTGCCATTTTATTGGCTTACAACCTGTAGACAAAGTTGAAAAGATTTTCATTACAGAGAAATTCGGTTACAGCCTTACCATAAAAACATGTGTTATTTTGTGACATTGTTGTCTCAATCAATAGCTAACACAAATAATTCGAGCACATTACCAAAATTATATTGCCCCTTATAGCGCTGGCAGTGAGGTTGAAACCGCCGCCTCATTGGCCGCCTCCATTGCTGCCATGACAGGCGGCGATTTATCGAGCGGTTTTCGTCCGCCGGCTGCTTTCCACGATGCCCGCGAATTTGGGGATCAAGCGGAGTGCGAGCGGGAGCAGCGCGCCTTGGACTTGGAGGTGCAGCGGGTGATGGAAAACACCAGCGAGGCGCAGCTGGCGAAAATGGATCGAGAGGAGCTGACCTCATTGTTGGCAAGGTAAGCTGATCATTGAACGTGTAGAATCGGTGATCCCAGTGCTTGACTGTAGTTTGTTGCATGCTGTAGCGTCTACCAACCTTGAACTTGAACTTGAACTTGAACTGCAAAAAACTAACCAGCCTGCGACCCTTAGGTATCACGAGAAGAAGGAGCAGGAGCGTCAAGAATACACGATACACGTTTAATACTAGCCTAGCCGCAAAGAGCCAACGCTGACTCTTAACTAACTTGGCCAGAACACAGACTCAAAATAAAAAACAAAACAAAAGAAACGCAAAGAAAAACACCGACACCGATACACTTATACACAACTGAGGCATTTAACTGCATTTACTTAATCGAGCAAGTCGATAGCTCAAACTCAACTCTAATTGTTGTTCGTTAAGTGTAAACTAAACTGTAGTATTTAAGCCAGCACGCGTAATTCTCGCTAATGCAAATCAAAGACTATACAAATCTAAACGTATGTTAAATTGACTGTAAGCCCAAAAGAGTTCTCACAGATTTTTCAGAAGTTCTCATACAACAAACACTCGTTAAATGTCTGCTAGCCATAAGTATCTAGGGGAATATTTACACACACACATACGAGTGTATAAGTATCTGTTTCAATTTGTTGTGATAAATTTAATTGTTTAAAAGTATTTATTTCTGCAATTGATTTCAACAGCATTTTAATTGGACAAAGTGCTTTACTCAACTGGTGCGTTGGTTGGTTCTTCTTCTTTTTGTTCGAAGTTGTTTCTTTTTATTGAAATTGATTTTTACACTTTTAAAGTCGCACATTCGAAATAATGTTGCTGTTAATTTTAAGTCAAATATGATAATTATGGAATTTAATTAAAATAGATAATCAACAATGAAATTGTATTGGTATCTTAGGTAAATATATAAATATATATATACATGTATGTGAACCAAAACAAAACCAAAGCAACACAAAATGCAAATACTAACAACAAAAAAATTAATTAAATAAAAGGTGTATAAAGATAAACAAAAATCAATTTCATGGTAATTTTATTAAACTACACTTTTTAAATTGAAACCCATAGCTAAAACAACCAACTCCGATTGGCATTGGCAGTTTCGGCAGAGTCCACCTGCGAAGCCACTAAACCAATATTTGCGCTAGCAAATGAGTATAACCAAATCAATCAAATGCAATACAGGCTTGCCACAAGCCAACAGTAGCTGTAAACTAATTCAGTTTGCAACAACAGGAACAGCAACTACAATCAGCACAGTGAATGCAGCTCTGTTGTATTTGGACTGCACACCGCATTGTGGCTTCAATTTCAGCTGGTAGATTAAGCCACAAGATATCTTTGGTACTTTGATACGCACAAACATACGCACAGACATACAGAAGAAGCCACTACATACCCACAAAAATGAGCACATTAAGCATGCATGATGTGGGGTTGCAATATTTACCTGTGACGGCAAAAGTTTGTCAATCTCTCAGAATGTTTGCAACTGAATTTAAAGTCATTTCAGTAGGGCAACATTTGTCTGCAGTGTCTGGCACTTCGACATCAGCTAACGGCAGTTGTAAGAGGGCCAACAGGCGACGTGCAACACGACGCTTCCCAGCAAGTCATAAAAAGTGTGGCATCTTTTAGGCGCAACAAAGTTCACATTGCGTATACGCAATACAATCAAATTCAAATGCACTTTAGATCTGTTATTCTGTTGTGCACACATGCAAAGCTAAACTGGAACTAACTTGCGATTAGTGTTTTCAACTGAAACTTCGGTTATTTAGCTTGCTACTGGAATGCCAGACCAATTGAAGTTTTGCTCACTCCAGCAAACTTTCGATTGGCATCAACTTTACCAGAATAATCACCTTGCTAATTAGCTGTTGTTGTTCCAAAACCTAGTTAATGTTGTGAAAAGCAGCTTACGGCCCAAGGAGCTTAGTCTGCGCTCAAGCAGTATAATTAAGAATGAAAAGACGCAACACAACGACGACAAAGATGTACTTTAATTTTCTTAGTATATTAAAGTGCACTTTAGATCCATGCAAGTTTTATCAGCTACGAGGTTACAAACAAATATCCAAAATCGATATAACAGCCACACGCATGAAAAGCATTAGGTAAGTGTGTGTGCTTGTGTGTGTGTGGTTGACATGATTCTCGATGGCAGCACTTAGAAAAATGCACTCGACTGCCGGCCAAAATCGATTTCAATTAGTTAAAGCTGCTGGCTGTAAGCCTAGGCGAATAATCACTAAATGGCAATGGACGCACACCGAGCGGCAGCAACAACAACAGCAACATTCACAACGACAACAATGCAATTTAAGCAAATTCAAAGTCCGAAAATGGCAAGGGGTTAGTAGTACATGCTGCACACTTGTTCAAAATGTACTCGAAATGCATACAGGATAAACATAGGCACACCCACACACACACCCACACCCACACATACTACACACGCTGATAACGGAGCAGAGAGGCGTGGGTCGAATGAAAGCTGCACATGCATTTAATAACAGCCAACCTATGCAAATATGTGCCTGTGTGGATGTGGGTATATGTATGGTTTTGTTTGTAAGAGTTCTATTATTGCCATGTTGGAGTGAACCGCTCTGAGCCGCCTGTCATGTGTAGGACATTATCTACACAGCACACGGCACCCGAATGCAAATATGCGTTGATGCAGTTGCACATGGCGCCCAGAGGCAGATCGGACTCGGCACGTTTCGGCCATAACTGAGATTGTTCGGATTGTAAGGCTTAGCAGCCGCTGGCAGGCAGGCAATGCATTTAATTAAAATTTTCAAATTACTAAAAGGTAAATTATTTTCGGTTTTCATTAACATTTCATTTTATGCCTGAGTGGTCACAAATTGCCAAACAACTGTCTTCGTGTTACTCTACCAAAGTAATCTGGCCTAAAGCTTATAAATACAGTAAGCAAAATATGGTTGAAAATGGAAATATTTTTGTTTGTGCATTCTCTATGAGCTCTCAAGTGCATCTGAAAGGATTATAATATGAGATGTGCTCTCTAAATCAAAGTACTTTGGCAACTGGCAATCTTTAAAGCGAATATTTAGCTGTCTGAATAACACTTGGCCTGCTGCAATAAGGCAAACAGCCAACTCAACATAATGAGGCAAGCACAAGCTGCCACAGCCGCAGCCACAGCCACAGCCCTGCCAAACATCTGCTGCCAAAGACAAATACGTATTTCTATATGTGCATGCTTACACATAAAGGACACTTGGAAAAAGCAATGTTTAATAATTGTAAGGAATTCAAATGAAAGTTAAAAGCAAGATCACTTGTAATATTTCCATATTTTGCTTAATATTTTTAGACTTAATTGAAATATTCATATTCAAATATTCATAAAATAAAAATAAAATATAAAAACCATTTTCTAAATTAACTACATTTTACAACTTTGATTTTCTGTTAGGCAACCAATACTACAAATATTTTCTTAGTGTAGGGTTAAATAAAATTGGGTGTGGGATAGCTGTGGTTACGGCACCCGCAGAAGGGTAGCTGCTGCATATGAATGCTTTATAAAGACAGTGGATGTATAAAAAAAAAAACAATGTATAAAATATAAAAAAATATGCAAAGAAGTGTTACAAATACAAGCTCAGACACCCGCCCGCCCGCCCGTCAAGCTTCCCTGCTGCAGCGCCGCCCGCTCGGTAGCCAGCGAGCCAGCCAAGTGCTATTCATGTGGGACTCACTTAAATAAAGTGCTTTTGCATTGCCCGCCAGACGGATGCACTGGCATGGGCGTGCAGAGCCGGATGCTGCGCTGTGGTTGCGGCTCTGACAACGGGTGCTAGTCTATTTGTCTGCTGTAGTTGAGCGTCATCATTATTTGAATTATCACAGGCTTAGCTCACCGAGAGAACACCTGTGTGCAACATGTGTGGCACTCAATTCATTATAATGCAATAATAATCTTTGCACCATTCAACTATTTACACAAAAGCTATTGTTAGTGGCGGGGTTATGCAATATGCTGGTCTGTCTGTCTGTCTGTCAGTCATTACAATTCAAATTGACGTCATTTTAACTCAACTTACGCTGCGTTTTCCACAAAACACAGGCCTATGCCAGACACAGACAGCAAGAAAAAAACAACAGGTAGAAAAGGTTTAAATTACGAAAATTACTTACCCAGGTACTTTTTCGCCAAGAGTACAATGTATTTCTACAACAAATTACATTCTCATACACTCAACCCATTAAAAAAAAAGTGGTTATATTGTTTCGGGCGAATTTTAAATGCAGAATGAGACACCTTTGATCCCATTAAAAATGTTATATCTTGATTAGGATCAACAGCCGACTCTATACAGACGAGTCCGTCTGTATATAAGAGCTAAAGATAAGTCAGAGACTTAAATTTTGAATATAGGTTTTTGCACACAAAGCGCCAGATTAGTTTAAATTAAGATCAAATTAAAATAATATATTTAACAGCTGTGCTCAGAATTCTTATTTGGTATTTAGGTTTTGTTAACAATTTTTAACTGAAAATATGAACAAATTCATATTGATATTTCGGTTAATCAAAAATATGTAATTTTTATTGCACTCAACCATTTAATATGGAAAGGGAGGTTGTATATACGTGTAAGGCTGAGTATATATGCTATCTTTACGCTTCGTCGCAACATTGAAATGCGTAGAGATACAGCAACTGCAACTGCAACTTTAACAAGAACAAAGCAACGACTTGTTAATTTTGTGTCAGGCGTTTAGTTTGCATATCGAGCTTTTTGCCTTACTCGTTTACTTGCCTTTGTTTCTGCTCATTCAACGTTGATCGCATCCATATACTATATGCATGTGTGTGTGTGTGTGTGTGTGTGTGAGAGATGGCTGACAACAATGCTTGCTACAGTTGCCGCCAGCGACACTGCCATCTGTGCGTGTCGTGTTCATGGTCTAAGCAAATTGAAACTGATTCAACTGGAAACGAAGGCAATTGTGTGTAAGAGCTCCAATTCAAATGGAGAACGCTTATGAAATCTAATGAAACTGGCAAAAAAAGCGAGTAAAATTCCCGAATGTGACATGGACATGGAATGCAATGGAAGGAATCAGGTGCAGGCAGGTGAACATCCTGAGTAGCTATGCAACTAAAAGGCACTAAGTGAGTTCAGTCAGTAACAATAGATTCACCATTCATATTTTTATCCAATGAATCTTTTAAACAAACCCGCTTTTCTCCGAATATATAGCTTTCATATGATAAATTGATTAAAAGCGATAATACAACAATTATACGTAATAGTATATATGCAATATTTTAATCAACCTATTGAAATGTCCAACAGAATCAATTTCCCAACTGTTTTTATTGCACACTTATATATATTAACTGAACCGTTATTAAATTGAGTTCAATTAATTTAATCTGGACCACAGCAAGAACGAAATTATGTTTGGATCTGCCGAAGGCCTGCTTTTGACTTATATAATCGATATTATTACAAATTGTAATTAGTGCAAAATGGGGAAAAGGAAAATGTTTCTATTAATTAAAGCGACGGTAAATTAATAGCAGCCACTGCAACTGTCTGCCGCTGGGAGAAGAGGAGATTTTGTAATCAGGTCAACACC